TCTGCGGGATCGACTCAGGCGACTAAGGGCAAGGGCCGAATGAAGGGCAAGGCCAAGGCTAAGGCGGCCCCTGCAAACCTTGGTCATCTTTTGGAAGACCGGCCATCGCCAAAGCAGGTGCAACTTAACATGCAGTGACCATGACGCCTGGCATGTGGAAACAGTGCCGTCGTTGCACTTGCATGTGCAGGACCTCACATGTTGCTGCATAGGTATAGTCTTTCCTGCTTTCGGGGGGTGGACTGCATGGCTGAGGCAGGCGCTTTGGGCACAGCAGCCGCTGTGCGGCTCTCGGTCCGATTTCCCAACAGCAGCAAGCCGCTGACTGGCTGTCTCCCAGCGATCATGTAGCAGTTTCCGGCTGGTGGCGCCTGCGATCGCCAAGAGAAGTGTGATCCGGCATGTTGCTTCTGTGCATGCTTGGGACCATCTCCGGCCGGGACTCTGGTTGAGCATTGGCGTGTTTCTTCGGTTGTGCATTGCACCGTGGACCGACTAGCAGAGATTTTCTCTCCATGGCCCATGATTCATTGATTGATTGATAGATTGATGGATTGATTGATCGATCGATTCATGGTAAGACTCGTTCCAGGACTTGGCCCAATGCTTGTTTTTAGCTCATGACATCATGTCCTCAGTGACAGTCAGAGTCTTGAGCCTTGAGAGTTGCCAGCGGCATTGCATTGTGAGTTGACGGCCGACCTTGGGCCGTCAAATATTGATTCTGAAAAGGCCGGGCCCGAATCTCCTGCCGTCGCTTGCCTCAGAACGTCATGTCCTCAGTGAGAGTCAGAGTCTTGAGCCTTGACAGCTTCCATGTGCATTGCATTCTGACTCGGCATGAGTTTGCCTGTGCATGTAGTTCTGCAGTGCTATTTGGCTCTCCTGGTGCTAAGACTGCTAAGATCCTAAGAGCATCAGCTCCTGCAGTTGACAGTTCCATGTCTGTGTATTCTGGGCCAATGCCAAAACCAATTCCAGGTGCTCTAGTCAGTAGTAGATCCTACTGTAGAAGTGTAGCAGCAGCAGTGTAGCCGCAGCATCACCACAACAAAAAAGAGGCCCGAGCAAGCATGGCCGATCCTTGCTGTAGTCAGTAGTAGATCCTGTAGAAGTGTAGCAGCAGCAGTGTAGCCGCAGCATCACCACAACAAAAAAGAGGCCCGAGCAAGCATGGCCGATCCTTGCTCTAGTCAGTAGTAGATCCTGTAGAAGTGTAGCAGCAGCAGTGTAGCCGCAGCATCTCCACAACAAAAAAGAGGCCCGAGCAAGCATGGCCGATCCTTGCTCTAGTCAGTAGAGATCCTGTAGAAGTGTAGCAGCAGCAGTGTAGCCGGGCCCGAGTAGCAAGCAGTGTAGCCGGGCCCGAGTAGCAACCATGGATCCCGAGACAAACTGGCCGCCACCGGTTGCACCAGTGCTGGGCGTCCACGTCCCATACCCACCCCCGGTTCCACCCCCCCCTCCTCCACCGAAGACCCCTCCTCCACACGACACTTTTTCGGGACCGACTCCAGCAGCGGGACCGACTTCGGGTTGCCTGGCCGGACAGGCCAGGCAACCCAAACCCCAAAGGCCGAAGCCAATGCCTGCTGCCCCACAGCAGCCGCTTTGGAAACCAGTTTTAGTTTCCAAAGCAGCACCCCTGCCGGCCCGACTGTCGCCGATCTCACTGGTGTCGCAGGAGGCCATGCAAAGCTTGCATCGCAATATGCATGTTTGTGCTTCCGTGGGTGCATGACAGCATGACCATACACATCTCCGACTTGCAGGGTGAGGAGGAGAGCACAGAGGCCATGATGCACGTCTTTCTTTTCGTGGCTGCATGACAGCATTACCATACCCATGTCCGACTTCGAGGCTGCTTTAGGGTCCGAGTTGGAGAAGAAGAAGAAGAAGGCCATCATGGAGTCCGACACATGTGTCAGTTGTCCGTTGCATCATGACTGGATGCAGAAGCTTGCAGACAGGACCGATCGCGTCGGAAGCACAAGGCCAGCAGGTGTGAGTTGTGATTTCTCTGTATCTGAGGCTTCTGCTGCACACTAGTCACTAGTCAAGTCACTAGTCACTTCACTGCATTTCAGTACATTATATATGCTATACTCAGTAGTGGTATGCTTTATATCGATGCCGAGGCCTTGCCATCCGAAAACGATACAGCCATAGAGAGAGAGAGAGAGAGAGAGAGAGAGAGAGAGAGATATATATGTATATATATATATGTATATATATATATATATATACATATATACATATATGTATACATATGAGCATATATCGGGAAGTGCAAAGGGTGACCCTAGACCAGGGTGGCCCTTGTTAGGAGTCATCATTCGTGTGATCCGTTTCGGTCATTTGGGATGTGGGGTAGTAGTAGTAGTAGTAGTAGTAGTAGTAGTAGTAGTACTACTACTACTACTAGTACTACTACTACTACTACTGCTACTGCTACTACTACTAGCAGTAGCAGTTCCTAGTTAGGAACATATAGAGACTTGTCGAGTGGAGGGGGGGTGTCCAGCAACAGGGTCAGTGGTCGTCCTCGGTCCTTGTCGATATTCTTCCAGACACCCAGACACGCACACACACACACACAGACACACACACACGCATGCACACATGTGGTCTTTCTCGCCGCCACCATGAACTGGCCTTGAACTCAGCGGGTCAGGTGCAGTGATGGATGTTGTTGACGTCATGTTCTTTAAAATGTCTGCATGTCAGAATGGATTTGGTTAGCACCCAGTTGGAGCTGAAGGTTATGATCCAGGCAGAAGCACAAGTCAGTTCCTGCTCTTTCGTTGCATAAGTTTGCATGAGTTGGGAGCACTGTTTGACTCATTGACGCATGGCCCGAGTTCAGCAGCGAGGGCACGTGGACACGTGCTTTCTTACCTTCTGTAGAGATGCAACCTATGGATCCTGCCAGCAGTCCTATGCTTCCCTCAACCATTAAGATATTTCAGCTCTGCAGCTTTGCATGTCTGAGCTATCACACCGGGAGTCCAGCAGTCAAGACACCAGGACATTCTGAGTTCTTAGTCTGACCTTCTGTGGAGATGCGACATGGTTGATCCTGCCAGTAGTTCTAAGCTTCCCTGAAAATTATGCCATGCATGTCTGAGCTGTTACATGGAGACAGTGGCCCTTCCCGATATTATACTTAACAGCCTGAGAGGCGTGTGGAGTTTTTAACATCCAGCCATTGCCTTGTGTCCGTGCCTGGAGTGAGCTTCTGCTGGCTGAGACTCTTTGCTGCAATTCTGTGCAACAGAATTAGCAATCTGCCCTTGAAGCCCAAAGTAGCAGCTTGGCACAGCACATCCCATTGATCCTGAACATTCGACGAAGGCCGCATCTCAGAAGCCTCACGTGACACGGCACTTCGGCTGTATTCTTTCACAAAATCCGATGATAGCGGCTGTGGCTGGGAGCGACTGCACTTTCCAGGGGAGTGTGTTGCTTGCTGCAAGGCTACATCCTCATCGCCAACGTGCATGCCAGGAGGACGGTGACAAAGGCACTTAGCAGCTCGGCTATTCAGAGAGAACGATTGTGACTGGTGCCTGGAAGCGATTGCACTTTCCATGGGACCGTTACTTTGAGGAAGACCTGCCAACATCCACCGCAGTGCCTGCGTTGGGCCGATTATTTCAGCCGCTTCAGCTTCATATTGGAAGCAGTCTTTGGAACTTCCACTTGTTCGACTATTTATTTCTGTGATTCGGGTTCCTCGTGAGTCTTTGGCAGGCATGTCGGCAAGATTCCGCATCAGAGAGTATCCACAAGAATTTATCGATCGAGCTTTTGCAAGAGGCCGGCTAATGAATGTTAGTTAGTTGTTACAGTCGGGTATTCCAGAGTTCAGTGACTGCAGTAGCCGTACCCGATCCCAGCGTTAAAGCCTTGTCAGGTCGGAATCCTCCAACGGGTCCGATTCGTTTCGGCAGCCGGTACGATGACCTCTCCTGCAATGTGGAGAGCTCATGGGGCAACGACCAGGCCGAATCCTTTGCCCAGCCGGCAGTGATACTGCACGTATTGCGGTACATTTGTCATGCTGCGTGTGCCTGTGTGCTTGCTACAGAGGTGAGGATTCGGCTGTACGAGCAGGCACCGGGCATTGGCTGGACTCTGAATGCCTGCGGGGTCGATATGGTGGGTTGGGTCGAGATGCTTGATCGCCAATGGGAGACTTTCTGAGCTTGTATTCATTGTGTGGTCACAACCTCGGAAAGTTTTCCGTAGTTTGGGCCTGCTTCTTTAAGAACACAGGACACTGGCGCTTCTATGCCACTCCCACCCGATGGCCCGAGTATGTGCAGAGGAGATCGCCTTCAAGATGCTCCGCAAGCTGGCCCGAAAAGATTATAATCGGCCCAATTTTTCGCCACTCGGTCAGAACTGGGGAGATGTTTTCCATTATGAATGAAGTACAAGTATAAATATAGCTTAGCAGCTTAGCATCTAGAATCTAGAATATAGACTCTAGACTCCAGACACCATCACTTTTCCAGGAGCCCTAAACTAATTTCAGGCCCTTGTGGTCTTTGTTGACCAGAGCAGTGTTCTTGTACCTCCGGTCCGAACACCGGCGGCCACCTCCGCGAAGAAATGATTCAGGGGCCCGTTTTTTTGCACCGCACCAGCAGCTCGTCCCATGGTCTGAGTTGTGGCATGATGCCACGTGTCTGGCTTGGTGCTTGGAAAAGCTGCAGATCTCGCATGCGCAGGTGTGGTCCGATTCTGGGCAAAATTATAAGGATGGGGATGAAGGGGATTTCCTTTTTAGGTTGTTTTGGTGTCTTAAAGAGCATGGAGCGATTGTCAGGACTTGTACGGTCTCTTCCGGGAGAACCGTGTCGGGTCCGATTACGTGCTTGAGCACGTGAAGAAGATGAGCCAGGTGGTTCCCACCAAGCGATGCTTGGATTGCAATTGTCGTGTTGGTGTTGTCACAATGTCTAGAGTCTCGTGCAATGCTACACTCGTCTGAGGTTGCAGGTCCGAGTTTTACCAAGGGCTCACGTTGCGAAAGCAGCAGCAAAACTTGCTCAGCTTTTACAACGAGAAGTGGCTCTTCGCCAAGGAAGAATGGCAAGACCACGGCCCGAATCGCGAGCTCTACAGGGGGCAGGAGCCGCCAAGCTTTTCGGACGACTCCGACACCGAGGCCTCACTGGTGGCCGGCTGCTTGGCTTCTGTTTTTTGTTGTGTCTGCCTTTGGTCTCCAGGAGGCGGGTCCGACTTCAGCTGCTCGGCCGATTCTCTGGAATTGGTAGGGCTGTTAGGGGCGAAGATGCCCTGAAGCCTCAGTCATACATGGAACACAAGCAGAAACTGAGGCAGCCAGCTCCTCCGGCCGGAATAGAGCACGTCCAGCTCAGGACAGCCATGAGAGAATAAGTAGTTGCGGATCAGCAGTCACCATGCATCAGAGATTCAAGTCACAGAGTGATGTCGCAGGTGGCATTCAGACCTTTTCCCGGCACACCGCCCGGGCGACCTCTGCCTGAGGATTCAAATTACTTAAGACTTAAGCCGTAAGTGTGTTAATCTCAGATCATGTGTCAGTATCTCATAATCAGCCGGCGTTGCAGGAGCCACAGATCGTACGGGTGCGGAAATGCATCGAAGCCCAGGACTGCCATAAAGTTATTGCAGGATACCCGCTTTTCAGACAGATCGCTAAGTCCTGCAGACCGATTGGTGGAGTTGCAGGCGGCTGCTATCAGGAAGATCCGTTACTCTCCTCGGATGTTGAAGAGACTGCTCAGGCCCTTCAAAAGGCTGAGTGTTGTTGCACTCTGGGCATTTGTCATCGTAGTACAGGCTGGCAGCAAAGCAGGATGCTGGTTCCTCCAGACCATTGAGGCCATTGTAAAATCTACTACTCAACTCTACAGACCCGACTGTTGCTCTGCTTCCCTGGGTCTTAGGATTCATTTCTGAGAGACTTCTGCCCAGGAAGAAGCTGAAGAGCAAGGCGTTGCTTGTCGGAGTTTGGCGACATCCGGCATGGAGTCACATGTTGGCCCGGATGGTTGGTTAGGCTAGGCAAGGCAATGTCATAATTAGAAGTGGCCGGACATGCTATGCAGCCTAGGCCAAAGGCAAAGTCGACGGCCGGGCCGATTGCAATGGAGATTTTTGGATGCAATGTATGACTTCAGCATGACAGCTGGGCCCGTTTTTCATCAGGCCACACCACTATCATGATTCAGTCTGACATGTGGACCTGTGTGTCATGCTATCCAGCCTAGGCCAAAGCAAGCACCGAAGTTGCTTGGTGATTCAATCAGACACAACCATTGCAGAGTGGCATGTGGAGTGATTCGACGTATCCTCCAGCCTAGGCCAAAGGCCAGGCCGCCGATCCGGAGTAAGTTATCAGGATGCAATTCATTTTTGTTTTGGGCGTGACATCTTGGTCTGGTTCACCAGGCAAATATGTCTCATAATTCAGTTTGACACATGGACCGATTCGTCATGCTATCCAGCCTAGGCCACAGCACCCGCCCAAGGCTAAGGAGTTGCTTGGTGATTCAATACCCAGACACATTGATTCTGGAGTGGAATGTGGAGCGACTTAACATGCCGTCTAGCCTAGGCCGCAG